GGGTGAAGCGATTCCGCGATGTCGTTGTGATGGATGTATAGAGTGATCAGTTGTGGTAAATAGAAGTCCACTTCCGGAGCACTGAATGTGAACATACGGTTCCCTAAGTAGGACAACACTCCCGACTCCTTCGACTTAAACAGATAAGTGATGGCAATCGACATATCGAAGAGCTGGGCCTCGAAGAGCCTCAGGAGCCACGACTCCTTCGGCGCCGACACCAGACTTGCCGCCACTGAACACAACTCCACGCCTTTCACGCCATTCACGACACCAATCGAGTCCTCGCCGTCGGGACTGATCTTCGGCCATTCTGTGCATTCCTCTCCTTTGCCGTTCATATCAATATTGGTCTCATTGGTGGCCACCGAAGACATATCTCAACACCAGCCAAACCTGTCTAACGATAAGTCCATCGGTTTATCGGTCAATACAATCACTTCTATCACTCATTATTAGTGATAATTACTTGCAATACAAACCATGAATAAGTGAATTGAATGGCAATTATAATAATGACAGGTATTTATGGGTCGTATTCATCGTAATTGTTAACAAAATACTAATTAACTATCACTCATTATTAGTGATAATTACTTGCAATACAAACCATGAATAAGTGAATTGAATGGCAATTATAATAATGACAGGTATTTATGGGTCGTATTCATCGTAATTGTTAACAAAATACTAATTATACTAATGAGCGCTCATTGCACTAACGCTAACACTATGCGTACATTCATATGATTCATATGATAGTGAACTCTATTCACATAAACACTCATATAATATACGATTTATTCAAATATTTTAATCCATTGAATGAAATGACAAATATTTACTCCCAATGGGAGTCACTCATAGATTCAATGGCAAAGCGTTGGCAATGTTTTCGTCACTCAATTGACTGCAACCCTATGCCTCCCACCCCCTCACTGGACGCGCACGTCATTGATGGCCAGTTGTGTAAACAAACGGCCATTGATTGCATTGTTGAGTCCATTTCATGACACAATGTGTGACACAATGTGTGACAAAACCCATTGTCAACCACTGATTGTCTCGCGAGTGACACACCATTCAACACATTGACACTCACTGTCACCCATCGGAACCCATTGGCAACCGTTGCGAAGCGATTGTCACCCACTGGGCAGTGATGTGTGGGTCGACGCCCATGTCCTCATCGGTGGTGCTATTGTTATCACTGGTGATGACGGTGTGTGTGATGGGCGACGAGCACTCGTGTCCGAAGCCGTGCTCCTGTTTGGGACCACTCGTCGACTGCTCCAAGAGGC